GTGTGAAGTATGTGTAGCACTGTCACGAGGTGGTGATGTATGCAATGCAGCAGGTATAACAGCAGGTGGTGTAACATTTAAATGCATAGTATCATTAACATCTAAAACAGGGGAAATATTCAAAGGTAGAACTACATTGTCAAAGAAATCATTCTCATGGACTGTTTTATGTAAAGTGTGAAAAGGAAACACATGCTCATGAAAAATGACATTCCTGGTTATTGAAACTCTATTAGTATCTAGATGCAACACTTTATAGCCTTTATAACCACAAGAATATCCTAAAAAAACACATTGATCAGCCCTAGGACTAAACTTATGCCTATCTTTCAATAATGTCGAGACATAACATAAACAGCCAAATGTTCTCAGAAAACTGTAATCAGGAACCTTCTGTGTAAGTAGTTCATATGGTGACTTATTGTTCAACAGAGGTGTAGGAGTACGATTGATTAAAAAGATAGCAGTTAACAAGCAATCACTCCAGTATTCTAATGTAACTTTTGACTGAAAAATCAATGCTCTTGCTACATTTAGTAAATGTTGATGTTTTCTTTCTACCACTGAATTCTGTTGGGGAGTGTAAGCACAAGAAAACTGATGAATCATTCCATGTTCTCTAACTAGATCAGTAAAAGCTAATTCAGGAGCATTATCTGTTCTTATAGCCTTAACCTTTGATTTATATTGAGTATCAACAAGCTTTAGAAAATCTGGAAAATGCTTTATTACTTCTGATTTAGTTTTCATCATATAAACCCAAGTAACACGAGTACAATCATCGACTATGGTGAGAAAATACTTAAAACCATCTACAGATTCAATAGAGAAAGGCCCCCATACATCTAAGTGAAGAAGATCAAATGGAAGTGAAGACATGTGGTTATTAGACTCAAAGGGTAGCCGTTTCTGTTTAGCTAAAGAACAGATACTACAATGCTGATCTAATTGTAAAGAAGACAAAGGTAAAATACCAGACAAAAGCTTTAACTTGTCAGAGGATGGGTGTCCTAGGCGTTGATGCCAGAGATGTCCATCGACTTTCAAGGATCCAGAGAAGTGACTTTCAGCATGATCAAGAGTGAGAGTAGACGATGGTAAGGATGATGATGCAGGTTGCAGGATATACAGATTATGTAGAAGAATTCCTTTACCAATCATCAATCCCTGAATACACTCCTGGATATAACAAAATTCAGGATAAAAATGAGCTGACCCATTGTTATGTTTTAAAAGAGTACTAACAGATATAAGATTGAATTGAAAAGAAGGAACATGCAAAACATCATGCAAAATGAGTGAATGTGACAATGGAACAGTGCCACAATGTTTGATGTCCACTCTAGTTGCATTTGGAAGAGAAACTGTGACTCCAGTGACTGTGACAGTTTCATTAAAAAATGCCAAGTCAGAGCAAACATGACTAGTAGCCCCACTATCTATGATCCAACTACCATGAGGAATAGCTTTTGATAATGATGAAAGACATTGATGTTGAAATGTGAGTTTATTATTCTCAAATCTAAGAGATGTGGATGGAAAAATGGATGGAAAAGAAGGAAAAGAATTGATACCAGCTGAGGATTGGATAGACATAGCACCATGTTCAGTGATAGAAGCCTTAGCAGATGGAATTGAACTCTCTGAAACATGAACCTGTGCATTCAGTTGTTGTATCAATGTCTGAACCTGATCATTGCTCAATGTGCTGACATCAAAATTTATTGGTGGAGTATTCGAGGTCGAAGCAGTATCAGTCATGACATTTGCAACAGCATGAGACGATGGCCGTGCAGCAGTATTAGTAGACCTTATGATTTGGTCTAAAGAAATATAATCTCTTTATTTTTAAATTCTTTTTTGTGGGTATGATGATCATAGGTTGTGATTTGATCGATAGGACATGGGACAGTTTTGGTGATGTCAAAGTGACAGATCGGAGTTTGATATGGTGAGAGTTTAAATCATTATAAAGACTGTGTTTAGGCTAATTTACTAAACCTTTGTATATGGAACTACATTGTTAGGAACTCGGATTTGATAGAAACTATGGAGTTGGAGAATCTTTTGATTAATGCAAGCATAACTATGCATTCTGCTGAGGCTAGGAAGGAGAGTCGAGGAGCACATGCGCGTGAGGATTTCACGGTTAGTTCAATGTTCCTTACATTAACAAAAATTTGTCTTAGTCGAAATATGGAAATATCGATCAAAGAGAGATTTTGGTATGGTTGTTTTGCAGAAACGAGACGATGCAAATTGGATGAAGCACACATTGGGTAACAATTTATCTTTTTATTTCTCTTTTGAAAATCATAGACTCAAAGTATGTTCATGTTTTCCTTAGATATCTTCTTTTGCTTTGTTTATATGTATATGTTGAAGGTATTGGGAAGAAGGGAATGTGAAATTGGAGTATAGACCAGTGCACATGAATACATTGGATGATGAAGTTGACACTTTTCCTCCTAAAGCTCGTGTTTATTGATTGAGATATCTTCAACTTTTCCCTCAAGAGCTTTTGGTGAATCCAAATCATTTATTTTCTATAATAATCAAATTTATTTGAAATTATTATCCCGTTAATAATTAAATGTTTTACTATATTATTGACAACAAAGAAAAAACCAAATGTTTCGATTTTCTTTGTTCTCCAAAAAAAATAGGACAGAAGATGTTTAAAATTATTGCTACGGCCCACGAAGACCAACATCTCATATTAGCAGCCCATTACAAAATTGTTTCTTTCTTTTGTTGTTTTCTCATAAAGTAAACCGCCTCGCTTTAATGAAGGATAATAGTGACCCGAAAGACACGCAATCTCCCACGCGGTCAAATCTGAACCGTTGAGGTGTTATCGAACCATTTAATCTGAACCGTCTATCATTTCCAACTCTATATATAAGAGATGAATTATTTTTAGGGTTATCTCATCATCGCCTCCATATTCATACGCGTCTTTTGCTTCCTCCCTTCGTCAACGCTTTTCTCAGATCTTGCTGCTATGGCGACGATTCTGATTCTTTTCGCTTCTAATTATCGTAGAGATCCTCCCGATCTTCACAACCGTGTCGTGTTTTGATCGAGATCTGATGGTTGATTCCATGATTTGGCGACGGATCTGACGCAGATCTAGCTTTTCCTCTCGGTAAATCTGATCTTCTTGTATCGATTAGCTTCTCTTATATTCGTTTTTTAAATAGAATTGTAGTTTCGTAATCGAGAATTCTGTTCTTGAATATCAGATCTGGCTTTGGATCTTCATTTGCGGCTTCGTAAGACGATAGATCTGTAAATTGGTCACGTTGAGGCGCATAGATCTGGGATACAAGGAGATGAATCTGAAGCAGACGCTAGGGCTTACTCTTTCGTGTTTGGATTGAAGTGAGTTAGGGTGTATAAGATGTTTTGTTGGATAGCTATGGCGTCCCGATCGCATCTTTGTCATCCGACCTTTGCCATGTCAGGTGCGCTTGCATGGCAGGTCAAAACTGTGCTTAATAAAAGTTATTTTGTGGGTTTTGGAGAGGAGATCGCACGGGTTGTTTATTTTTTTTCCCGGGATCTCCTCTCCTCTGTGTGTCTTGCCTCGCTCCCTCTCTCTCTCTCTTCCCTCTTTTACATCTCTAATTCGCTATTGGTCATATACTCAAAAAAAAATCGATCAGAAACAGAGACTGCGACTTAACTGGAGCCGTGGCTATATCAATCCTACTAGCACAAGAGAGTCAAATCAGGTACTTATATTCATATTAATTATGATCCTAAGTTATTATTCAAGCCAAATCAGGTACCCATATGCATATTAACTTGGATCGTTAATTACCATACAAGTAAATAAGCATTTGAAAGGAAATATCAACATGATTTGACTTTACAACATGTTATGCACTTCTTTACAACATGATAGTCCGGGGCAACGTTTGATCATATTTAATCGTTTCATCAAACATTACATTGTTTAAATGATATTTTAGTTACTTGTATAATGTAATTAAGTTTTTGTATTAAGGTTTTTCAATAATCTGTCGTCAGTTTTAGAATTTGTATTTAGCTAAGTTTGTTATATCTGTCTGTAACGATATCCTTTCTGTTGAAGTATGAAGCTCGTTGACAGGAAAATTGAAGTTTTGGCCAACATATAGATTTCACAATCCAGCCATTCTCGTATATTATTTTGTGTTAAAGGTATAAATTTTTGGTAATAGACTTAAATAGAGTAAAATGTGTACATTAATTTTTGAGGAATAAAATATATTGTTTATTTAGTTTTTTTTTTTTTTTGAAGTTTACAAGTTAGTATGTTTTTTTTCTTTTTTGTAATTATATTTTTTTGTTATCGAAAAGTAGCATGATTTTTCTCCATTAATTTTTATGAAACTACTTTAGCTGTCAATTGGTATCTAATTAGAGTGCATGAGGTATGATATCTGTTTATTAAAAATAATTTCGTAAAAGTTAATGTAGGCAATAGTATATATTTAAAAACTCCAAAATTGTTATTGTTTATAGATCTGTAAGCTCAAAATGGCAGAGCGCTCGTCTATTATGATGGACGAGAGGTTGGTGGTTCGAATCCACCCAGTTCTGGATTTGTTTCGGTTATTAGATAATTTCAAGAGTAATCTTAAGTTTATTCATCCTTTCATTTATTTTCTTTACTTTGCTTATTGATAGTTTTCCTAAAGGTTTTTCTCTTGTGGTTAATAAACTTTTTTCTTGGGTTTAGTATAGTTTTTTTGATTGGACAAATTAAGTCGGCAAGAGAGACGTATTCTTTTTGAGTTGATTTATTTTCAGAGTTGATGGCATATATCTATTTCAATTTACTTTCAATATCCATTGCTTGTGACAACAGTTGTTTCACTTTGTGATCCACAGGATTGCCATACACATGAGCTTTGGAAGATGCACACTGAAACCACAACAGACGGGGATTATAGGATCAGACTTTGACGGCTACTTGCTTTTGAATGTGTTACATCGCATCGCTATGCTCTGTATTGACATTTGATACTCGAAATCTTGTGCATAGAGAGCTGATTTCATATACATCATCTTTCTTAATTTTATTGTTCTTTCTTGATAACTTCACATAATTTTATTTTCATAAAAAAAAAAAAGACACTAGACATATTCTAATGAACAATGATCACGTTACAAATGCCTAGTCAACTCTTAAATTTAATCCCGTAAACTGCTATAACTTGTGCGCCACAATCCATTAGTCTGTTCATTCATATTCCATTGTTACCATTTTAAATCCAATGCCTAACTCTTCCTACTTTTTGAAGTCAAAACATTTTCAAACGTTTAAATTGTTAAATCGGGATCCATATGGATTATTGAATCAACAACAACCAAGAATCGTACAATATATATATTTAGCTCTAGAGTCTAGACAATATACAATCTTCAAAGAGTGCAAAAAATAACGTATAACATGTATTTCTCTTTTTCTGTGTATTTTATTTATTCCATATAATATAATAGCAAATTACTCAAAGAAATTAAAGTAGTGTATTAAAGAAACCAGATCAAACAAGTGTGTTTAATTAAGGACACTTTTTGCGACCACCGTGGGTGGTGAGGCTACCATAGCACGGACACTTTTCGTATTGTCCGTATGTGCCCGGCGGCACGCAGCTGCACCTGGCGCAGCAAGTCCCGCACGCTCGGTGACAAAGTTTCTGCCTACTCGAGAGCCTGCACCGTTCTTGGCACTTGCTCTTGCAATCTACATAGAAATGCATACCATTTCCAACCAAAAATTTTAATAAACACATATATATATATATTAGTTCAACGTGTATATTCATACGATTAATATCATGTAGTTACCTATTTTTGTGGCTTTATTCGCCGTCTGCATGAAATATTATGAAAATTTTGTTAGAACATATCAAAGTACAAGAAATATGTTTGGCTGTTAATTGTTAAATCAAACCACCATGTCGGCATGAACCAAGTCGAGGACAAGAAGTGATATGAGAAGAGAAGCAAGCACGACTTTGAATACAGCCATAATTCTAGAATCAGAGAAAAATTTTGTTTTTGTTTTTCTTGTTGGTGGAATTATAGGAGGCTTCTATTTATAAGCTTGGTATGTAGGTTTCTTCTACATGCATTGGTAATAAAAGACAGAAAAAGAAAAAACAAAATTCAAAGAACTTTAGTCAAATGGTTTTCTTTGTGTTACTAATCAAATTTTGTGAATTGGTCAAGACATTAGATGTATGTAATCAATATTTCTTTATCCCTTTGTGAAATCAAGATACTGAAAAGATCATTTGCCAAATAAAAAAATTAATATGATCTTTAAAAGATTTTTAAAAAAATCAACATGCTTCTTTTGCTGTTCAATTCAGAGATGTATCTAATCAAAATTAAGATTCATTTCAGTTTTTTTTTTCTACTTTCAATTTGTTTCAGTTTTTAGATTGATTTTTTAACTAATTTGATGTATTTATTTTAAAAAATAGAAATAATAATATTAATAATAGAAAACTAAGGTTGTGTATTCAGAGTAGAATTTTAAGTGATTTGAGTTCTTTTTTAGTTTTTACTTTGATGACTTTAGAGAAGTACATATGATTTATTGTAAAATCTTTTCAATACCACCTATAATCATGAGATTTGAATTTCTGTATTTTTTAACTAAGAAAATCTTTTCAAATCCTCTTAAGTTCTTCAAAATCAATAGTTCAATAACACTATTAAAAGTCTTTTAATATTTCATTAGACTTTTTTATATCCATGATTGAATATACATATGATTAGTAAGTTTTACACAAAACACTTAAAATTCTACTTTTAATACACCCCTTAAATTGATATTTTATTATCTTTCTCATGAGTTATTAATGAAATATTTTCTCCAAGATGTAAATTGTATTCGAGATCAAAACTGAGCAATCCCTTAAACTTTAGCGAAGATTTTTATGTCACTGTGTTAGCTAGCTAGTGTTTTTTTATCAAACGAACAATTAATAAACTCTACTTTTTCAAAAGCTTTTTATAACCTCTACCCATCACCAAGATACACATCTAAATCACCCATAAAGGACAAGTATTTCAACGTCTCTTATACAAATTTTCAATAACTCCCAAATTGGAAAATCTCACTAACAAAGAACAATGTCAATTGGTGCGTAGAAAAAGTGGTTAAAAATTCTTGCGTACCTGAATTTAGTTGTTAAGCCTAGTCCAAAAGAATCTTCACATTCCCAACATTGAATGCCGCCAACTATCACCCGACAAGAAATAAAAGGGAATGACCATGGCCAAAAGAGTCCGCAATGTCGACAAAAAAAAAAAAAAGAGTCCGCAATTAAAGTTTCATCCAAGCTTTCCTTTATTAATATTTTATTTTATTTATTAATGGGTGAAAGAAAATAATATAAGCCAAGGAATCATCATGGAAACTTTAGCAAACTCTCCAAGGAAATCTTTATATCCATCACTACCAAACACTTGATCACACTAATGTATATATTTAATTGACCAACAGAGATTACCTACTTTGAACAAGAACAAGCGTGGAGGAAGAATATGAGGAGATTCAATCCTCTAAGTAGTTATCTCAACCTATAAACCCAAATGTCAACATTTACTATAATAAATGGAACAAATTATGAAATTTCACCACAATGTTGGATAATGAAAATGCATATGACTAAAATGTCAAAACTAAGACAAGATATATTACAAAAATACCAAGCAAAATGAAAGATTCACACTAAATTATCATCTTTCATTTTTTTATAGACATTTTTGCAAATTTTTGTACTAAATTTGATAAATATTTTAAAAATAAATATTATCCTCGACATATAAAATTATAAAAGGAAATAAAAAGATTATGGATTATAAATGGAAAACAAAGAATATATGGTTTGTGTCATACATGGCTTTGGACCTTTTTGGTGGTAAGAAATTAATCACAACCACCGGTACATATCAAAGTTGTTAAAATTTCCACTACTCGAAATTGGAGTAACTGTTTTGTGTCCTCCTAAATCCAACACTTACAATTCGTATACCATTTTTATTAAATAAAATATACAAAAAGAGTTAAAAAATTATTTTAAAAAGATGATGATATGTCACTTGGTGAAGATTGTGTCTTTTCCTAATGAATGACCGGCTTTCTCTTCTTACTTGGAGGATATAAAAGTTGACGAGAAGAATTCTTATCTTTTTCTTTGTCTCTTATTTCAAGAAATGTAAATGTAAAAATGGAATTCTTGGCACGCAAAACTCGTGTTAGTTCGTATGATGTTAAGTTTGTAAACAATTTTCTGTGCGATTGACTCATTTGAGTTGTTCTTTTAGTATGATGTTGACAAATAAAAAGAGATAGATGATATGACCATCTATAATATAAGATCACTTCATCATTCATTACTTATCTGATAGGTATGTCTTGATATACATATGATGATCATTATGCAGTCATAACACAATAAATAACTCAAGAAGAATAAAAGCTGAGATCGTTACCGTAACACCTATATAGTAACAAAGTTGGAACAATCTAACTAAGATCTCAACAGTTGCCAAAACCCAAACCAAAACCGGAGCCATTCTCTCTGATCTAACAAGTGAATTTTTAAGAACTTTAAATGTCCAAATCATCATCAGGGTCCTCATCAGAATCAGGATGCTCATCGTCCGAATCTCTGAAATATATAATCTCCCCTCCCTTACCCGATGAAACCACATCCGTCTGCAATTCCATTGAAGACAATGGTGTTGTCTCAATCTTGCCATCAACAAGGGATCTCCGACCATCATAGATATCTAACGATTTTCCATCATCTGAAGAACAAAACCGTATCAACTAATGTTTTAACCACGATGACAGACATGAATGAGCTTAAATTCTCTGGCTTTACGCTATGTAAACTCACCTTGGTGCTCAAAAGGAAGCACAACTTTTTCTTTCTCGACTCGCTCTTTCTCAGACAACTGTAGATTGAACTGAACCTGAACCAATAAGAAACAATAATATGAGGCATACAACTTAACATCATGCATCACATCGAAATGAACCACAAACCAAGAATTTAAAGAGCAGAACATAATAACTTGCCTTAGGCAAAAGGCTTTTAGTGGCTGCAATACCAGTATCCGCAGATGAAATGGGTGAAAAGTTTATTCCCGATTGATCAACATGATATTCTTCAGACTGTAGGTAAGGAGTTACAAGACTGTTAACTAGACGACACTCATAGGGTACAGAGAAAAGAGTAAGAGGGAACTCACCATTACTCTGACACGTCCCTTTCTAAGCTTAAACCGAACATGGAATCGCCCTCTACCGAAATCCTGATGAACCAAAAACAGGTTCTCTAAAGCATTCCTTTGTCCATCTTCAGATGGACACAAAGGTTCTAAGTTGGCTTTCATTGTAGATATATATTCAAGCGCATTTGTGACCTTATCTTGGTGAAGGTCAGTGTTTAGTGACCAATAGATACTAGAAACTTGAGCTGCACAGAAAAATTCAACCTTTGCTATCAAGCCTAACAATTAATAAAACTAATAAACAAGTGTTCAGGTCCATGTTGCAAAGTACCGTGGCTTCGAAGATCTGTTAAAAGACCAGAAACTAATGGCATGGATGAACGTCTTAGCAACTCATTCACCTGATTCAAAAGTTCAGATATAAAAATCACTTCTCTTTTCGATAATCGATGCCTAAAACCTCATCAGCGAAAGTTTGTTTACCGAATCTATAGCAACACAGAAAGGTGTTTTCCCGTCTCCAACCAACTCTGTAGCAAAACAATCACTTTTAATCTCCTATAATCCTTTAGACAAAGATCCAATCGAAAAGGATGCAATGTAAGAGAACTACCTCTTCCCGCTTCAATGATTGAAGAGAAAAGCCTTTTCAAGTCACTCACACACTTGTTTAACTTAACCAAACTTGACCCTTCTGTTAAACCAGTTGAAGGCTGATCAATCCAGCCTAGTGGATCAGTGTAACAATCCAATATACGAATCCTTCAAATCATAAACCAATCGGTATCAAATACAAAGAAGAGCAATCAAAGTACTCAACAAGTTAGAATAGTGTTTTCGAAAACTTAAATAAATCAAAATCACCATTTAGAAGATGAAGTGACAATGATTCCTTTTTGCTTCAACAATTGCAAATAGAACGAAGGGCTTCGCGAGAATGTGATCAGCACGAGACCACTGTATCGCAAAGTAGGACAAAAAAAAAGAATACTTTAGCTATAATGAAGCAATTAGAGATCGAATATAGTAGAATTAGGGTTCGAGAGTGTACTGCGACTTGGATTTTCCAGCCAAAATTGATGAAGATAGATTCGTGAGAAGGTAGCCAGAAACATCGAGTCCGAAAGGGGAAGCTACAGTTTCTTCAATGGTGAGAGCTGGTGCGAGCTCTCCTTCTTCGCCACCGTCTCTTAGCTTTCTGAAAATCGATTCCGCCATTGTTGAGAGATTCTATAGCTCTCTCCGGTGAAAAAGAAAGCTTGCAACTTTCAAAAGAGCGGCGAGGAAACAAATATCGGAAAAAGTTTCAAGTTTTCTTGGGCTTTGTTATGTAGTCCAATGGGCTTTGTTATGTAGTCCAATGGATTTTGTTATGTAGGCCAATGGGCTTTGTTATGTAGGCCAATGGACTTTGTTATGTAGTCCAATGGACTTTGTTATTTAGTCCAATGGACTTTGTTATTTAGTCCAATGGGCTTTGTTATTTAGTCCAATGGGCTTTGTTATGTAGTCCAATAGGCTTTGTTCAAAACAACACTCGAGGAGGAAACGAAAACAGCGTGTCGTTTTTTAACACGGCTAAAAACGTCAACCATTTTGTATGTTACTCAAAGAAACGAAATTAAAGAAGAAGGAGAAAGGTTTTAGGCCGGAACTGGGAGACTGATCTGGATCGGCCGGCGAAAAAGCAGAACCGTCACATTCGTCGTCGGAAATCAAGAAAGGTAATAACTGTTCATTTATGTCGATCTCTCACTCACTATCGTGTTCTTTCTTCCCTTTTCGCTATCCTGGTGATAATTTACAAATGGAATCGAACTTTTTTTTTTTTTGTGTTTATTCATCATTTCTGCGATTTTCTTAGTACAGCAGTCACTTTATTCATGGAAATGAGGTAAATTTGGATTTTTATTTGTATGTTTATATAGCTCTCGTAATATTGCACATAAACTGTTCGACGTATTTCCTGTTAAGCTCATATGTTCTTTCCACGTCTCCGGGATGGTTTACAATGAAACGAATGGTAAAAAAAAAACACATTTTTCGAATCATGGTCAATTTCACTACTGTTCCTTGATGCACCCTTTTTGTATTCATGGTCAATTACACATTTTGAGTAGTGTAGAAACTAAATTTACTACCTTGATGCACCCTTTTTGTATTCTGAAAGGCTTTTCATCGTAAGTAATGGTGATACCCTTTTGGTTTTTTAACTTGATTCGGACAAATTACAAAAAAATTGTACTTGGCAGGATAGTTCTCTGTAGGTAGAAGAGAAATGGAAGCCAAGTTTTTTCGGTTCTTGAAGATTGTTGGAGTTGGATACAAAGCCAGAGCTGAGGAAGCAGGACGTTTCTTATACCTCAAATTGGGTTACAGTCACGAAGTCGAACTTGCAGTTCCTCCAGCAGTTCGGGTCTTCTGTTTCAAGAACAATGTGGTTTGCTGCACCGGAATCGACAAGCAAAGAGTGCATCAGTTTGCTGCAACAGTAAGGAGTTGCAAACCCCCTGAACCTTATAAGGGCAAAGGCATAATGTACATTGACGAAGTTGTCAAGAAGAAACAAGGAAAGAAGTCGAAATGATCTCTCTATTATTTGTGTGCTTGTTCCTTTGCAGATACAATTTGCATCTTTTTGTGGTAGATTATGTGGTTGGAATTGCTCATCAATAAGTTTTATTTTGGATGTATGAAACATCATTTTGTTGTTAAGTCTCTTTCAATGAAACAAAATGAGAAGAGTTCGTCTTTGCAACTTAAGATTTACGTTTGTCTAATCATTGTTACAATAGAACTTAAAGCAAAGCTTATAACCAATACAAAGTAACTCAATCAGCATCTTTACGCTGCATAGAGTCGAGTATAACAAGCCATTGTGAAATGCAGTTGCCCATTAGTCAAGCATATAAATCCTGGAGGCAATGTCTTGAACCAACCAATCGAATCCCTCCAACAACCCTTCACCCGTATATGCGCTGCAACCCACAATTTTCCAGTGCCGGCTTTTATCCATGGACTCCAAGTTTAGCACCTTTAAAAGCAAGAAAGATGAAACTCAATTTTAGCACACAATACAACTCAGAACAAATCTTACTTAACCCACTAATCTTCACTGAAGTTGAGAAAGAACCCATTTAACCCACTAATCTTCAGTAAAGTTGAGAAAGAACCCCTTCCAAGACAGAGAGGCCAAAAGATTCAACCCAATAAACCCAACATCCAAAACTCGTTTCTATATATAGTCGTAAAAGCTTCAAAAACCCTTACTTTGCCAATCTCATCAGGAGTAAGTGCACCTTGAATATCCTGTTTATTTGCTAGTATCAGCAAAGATGACCCAGCAAGCCTCTGCCATTTAAAACCAACATTTGAACATGGATCATCTTCTTCATCACAAACAGCAACACAATCTTCAAATTACAAAGCTTGTTAATTGAGTACACATACCTCTTCCTTCAAGAGATTGTCAAGTTCCATCTTACAATCATCTAACCTCCTAAGATCAGAACTATCAACAACCCAAACCAACCCATCAGTCTGCTCAAAGTAATTCCTCCAATACGATCTTATTGTCTTTTGCCCACCAACATCCCATATATTAAGAGTATACCTACACACACATACACACCATTATTCACAAACATTAACATTGCCTGTAACCTGTTCGATCATATTCCTGAACCAATTCTGAAGAAGAATCACGAAACTACAAGAGCAGAGAGAGAAAAAGAGCTTTACTTTTGGTAAACAATGGTTTTGATGTTGAATCCAAGAGTTGGGCTGATCACACTTGTGTCTTCTCCGTTTATTTTCAGTACAATCGTCGTCTTCCCAGAATTATCAAGTCCACTACAACAACGAAATACCCAAAATCAGCACTATATCAATAATGTATGATTAGATCGGAGAATATGTAACGAGTTTTGGAATCTGAGACATACACCATAAGAATTCGCATCTCCTTCTCTTTCTTCTTGATCTTCCGGATTATGCTTAACAGTCCCATTTTTCACACAACAGAGCTTCTAAACGAGAATTGAAAATCAAAACGAGATCAATGGTTGTCTACAGATTTCAGATATCCACACGGTGGTTTTCGTCTCCGACGACGGCGGAGATGGCTTTAGAGAGGATGTGATTTCGAACGGAGAAGACAATCGACGGTGATGGTGGACCCAAACAAGATGGGCTTTTAATAGTATAACAGATTGGCCCAAATGATGGTGCGATAAGTAATAGGCCTTATTCTCATGGATTAGTGGCTACGTCAATTGCCATATGTCTGGCCATATTATAGGTGTTTCTCTTTAATAATTGGGGTTATAAAAAGTCTTAAAATTTCTTTTATTTAAGGCATTTACAATAGTTCAAAAAAAACAAAAATCACAGTGATTTTGAGTGGTAAAATTTGATATTTGATCTTGAATCTCACCCAAAAAAAAAAAAAAAAAAAAATTATACATCGAGCAAACGATTAACAACACTACACACTTATGCAGTAATGCGTAGTCGAAATCCGTAAATTCTTTTAAGATCAGATACTAGAAGATGATGGAAGTAGCCCCTTCTCAAGCTATCCATAAACCTAAGGGACAAATTTTATCAGTCTTATGAACTGATTTTGGATTTTACTAATTAAGGGGAATGATCGGATCACTTGGTTACAAAGAAGATTTGTTATATATACGTGAAGCAAACTATTAAACTAAACATTCATAGTAATATACTATATCCATTACTAATTAAGGCTAAATCACCTTTTAATTTGCATATTAACTAGAGGTTAATTCGATCCCACTTGTGATCACATGATCTATAACCTTAAGGTGTCAAAAACGAGAAGTACTAAACTAGAACAATAATATACATGAGAAGGATAAGTGGACCATACGTCATCTAGAAATATTAGTCAAATGGTCAAACTGGAGAATGAAAACGTTATTAAGAAACCAAAAAAAAAAAAAGAGAAAGAAAACACCAATCGGATCTTGATCCTTTTGAGGGAATGTTTTGTCTCTTTTTCTTTTTTTTGTTTGGTTGTTGTTTTTGTTGTTTTGCTGTCATTCTCTTTGTTTTATTCTCTCTTCCTCTCTATGTTTGAGTGTTGGAGACGGACCGTATCATACAGTACGGATCGGAAAAATGATAAAAAGTGCATGTTATTAGCGTAGTTAATTAAGTATCATGAATCGGTAATTAGATTTAACACACACACAAAACGAAACCCTAAATCGGTAATTAGATCACCTATGTAGTATCTTATGACATGCATGCATCTACATCTTTGATATCGATCTACGTATCAAAACGTAGCACAAATTGTGATTACAATAATATTTATTTTTTCGAGACAAAAACAATTCTCTAGTGAATTAAGCAAATTTAAATAAATAATGTAATTTAAATGGCAATGCCAAAGCCGAACACATAGACATAGCTATTAGCTAGTGTCTCGTGAAAGAAACATATATAATAAGTGGCTATGACAAAAGACCTCAAAGCCGAACACTTATTAATGTGTCTTTGGGTTAGTCGTAGTTTAGGTTTCTTGTTCAATGAAACAAAGTGCATGTGTTGTAAATTAAAAGCGGCAGTCTTCTTAGTTAAACAAAGAGCTCACACCAATCGCTACTCCGATTTGATTCTTTGTGTTGGCTTAAAGCCTGACTCTTTCTCTCTTTAGAACTCTTGAATCTTTAATATTCTTTGAATCTTCTTCTTCATTTGATCATTTTATTTCTAGACTAAAGTATATAGTTTCAGTTCATATTCCGGGTTATATATTTGCAAAAACTGAATAGCAATATTAAATTATCTTTATTAGCTTAGTTTTCAGTTAAAATTTTTTTTGTTTATCATGGCTAGTGGCAGAACTCAAGTTTTGAACTCCAACTTGAAGGAGTATGCTTAGTAGTTTGTCCTTCAACCAAAAATACATAAAATCATTAGAAAATTTTATTTAAGAGATGATCTTACGTTAAGCTATGTATATAACTTTTGCTTTAGAGTTAAGATTTGATAGGCTTAGAGATATTTACTATTATATTCTTGTCTTGGCAAAACATCATCTACTTTAGGAGAGGAACGAACTAAGTATATAACCCAAAATTGGGAAAACCAAAAACAATAAAGAAGAAGGGAAAAAGAAAAAGAAGTTAGCAATTGAGTGTTTTGGGTGTAATAATAAATCCAGTTGAGTTTATTCGCTTTTGTACTTTTTTTTTTCTATGATTTTGCTTTAAAAATATATTTTTGAGTTTGGGAGTTTGCTTCTTTGACTGATCAATTGAATCTCTCGTTCCCCAAGCCAAAGAAAGAACACAATATGTTGCTTTTGATCATTGCCAAGAATCTCACTTCGGAATTCCCTTTACCTTTACTCCCTTTTTTAAATTTTCGTTCTTAGCTTAAACAGTACTACATCTGAAATTTCATGTTTAAAATACATATAATAAAATCTGAACTATTTTTAATCTCTGAAATTTCATGTTTAAGATGCTTCGATAGTTTTTTAGGTGTACTGTTTTTAGTTTTCTTATTTGAAATCGGCTAAAAACTAAGGATTTCGATACGTTTGATATCTATCTAATATATAGTACATGTATATATAGTACTAGTTTCACAATTATTTTGAAACTACTACTATGAGCATGTATATTACTTTCATTATATTGAATTATATAACTAGTATCATATGTATATGTAGTTGCGGATTACTTTTCCTTATTATATAACTTTGGTTGTAATTCGATATGTTTTTGTTATGGTGATCGATAGATATTGTATTGTACATACTCTATTGTGTAAAACTCTTACGATAACTTGTAGTCGACTAACTGTGCATCTATATATTAGTGTTGGTGCAGGGATTAACACCACAACATACCGTCCTAAACTATAGATAAACTAGACAATTTAAATTGGGAAATTTCGATCAAGACTTTTTTTACGGGCCCATAGGCAAATGCCCACTTAGATCGCCGGCAGACCTAAAATTGTCAACATTTCTAACATAAAAAGGAAGATTTACTCCTAGATTTAAGGAAATTTAACGTATCTTGTAATCTAGATATCATCGAATTAAGAATACAAGAACCCGAGTTCTCTAGTTATTTTTGAGCAAAAACCTAGCTTCCTCTTCAAAAAACATAAAATTTTCTGTCTTTTCATCGTTTGATCAAGCTTAAAGAGAAATTCCTAAAGAGAATTTGTTTCCCCTACTCATCAAATTCATGGTGTGAATGTTCAATTCAACAATTAGAGTCGGAGGATGTTTAAAAGAGGCAAATGAGTGAAATCTGGTTTTGGTAATGGCAGAGCCAAGAGACAAGATCCTTAGAAGACCGTGACATTGTCACTCACGTGGGCCTCTTTTGACCAACCCCTTCCGACACTAAAACTGCAGATACACAACACTTATCATTACTTGCATAAAATAATATTTTCTAAAAAAGTCTTTTAACTTCATCAAAAACCATATATAATGAATGCCAAAATCTACTGTATTTTTCTTAAGAATAAAACTACCTTTAATATATAGTGTGCTTTTATTCACTTTTATTTGAAACAAACATGAAAAGAAACTACTCCGAGACACAAAAAATAATACTAAATGTGTTTTTAAGGTGAGAATTAGAAAAAAAACTATATATAACTTTAAGTTTGAATGTAACAACTGAAATAGAATAACAAAACATAATACGCCAACGAAGTCTTATTGTTTACTGTAACATAAAATCGGCGTTCGAAATAGAATCTAGAATACTTTGTCTTCCAAACCAAGAAACTCAGATAAAAATAAATATTTCAATGATTTATATATAAAGCCCTGAAGAATATTCATTGTAGAATTGTTGCTTTCTTTAGATAAAGTAAAGAAAATAATGTAATCTGCACTACATTAATAGATTCGATCACATATATAGTTACCACAGACCAAGTTCGCTTTTGTCTTTACTTAAACTGTCTCTATATATATGTTAACAAATATGTCTTGATTTGTAACTTGTAACTCAGATCACAAAGCCACCAAAACACAACACACATATCTCTCTCTCCCTATTTGATCTAGTCTACATTTTCATGATGGGATACCAAACAAACCCTAACTTCTCTATGTTTTTTTCCTCTGAAAATGACGACCAAAACCAATACAGTTACGATCATTACAATGATCTCTCTTCATCAACTTCTGTTGATTGCACTCTCTCACTTGGAACACCCTCTACTCGTCTCGACGACCACCGTAGATTCTCTAATGCTGGTTCTAACAACATCTCCGGAGACTTCTACTTTCACGGAGGAAATGCTAAGACTACATCGTACAAGAAGAGTGGTGGTGGTGATCATAGCTTACCTCGCCGTTGTGCTAGCTGCGACACCACTTCAACTCCTCTATGGAGAAACGGACCAAAAGGCCCTAAGGTAATTTATTAATATTTTCGTCATTTATTTGTATATGAATATGATCATTAAATAATGTTGGAAGTGTCAATGTCCGAGATGACCATCGATATTAAACGTATAATGAAAATTTAAAAAGTGTTGATGAATTGTTGAAAAAAGTTTCTAGATTGTAATGAAAGTAATAAAAGTGTCATTTTGGCAAATTCAAACCTCATGTTGTTAAATCATACGGAACTACTCTAGGAAATAAAGTACCTATATTTTTTCTAATCAAATTTTGTCACATCATATACTTTCTTGGTTGTTTTTTTTTCATATTGTTCTTCCATAAATACTTTATCCAAAATGAAAACAAAATAAGTGATTTCTTCTTTAAAATATTTATTATACAATCTCTCTATCCTTCGTTTGTTTTTATCTAGCATTACTATAATATATACATTTCATAGATATGTTTGATGTAATGTAACATATACAATGTTAACTTGGTGCACAGTCGTTATGTAACGCTTGTGGAATCCGATTCAAGAAAGAGGAGAGGCGTGCGACGGCCAGAAACTTAACGATCTCCGGTGGAGGTTCATCGGCGGCAGAACTTCCGGTAGAGAATCCATACAACGGAGGTGGAAACTATTACGGTCATCATCATCATCACTATGCTACGTCGTCGCCGTCGTGGGCTCATCAGAACACACAAAGAGTTCCTTATTTCTCACAGGCACCAGAAATGGAATATCCCTACGTGGATGATGCTACGGCTGCTTCGTTTATGTCTTGGAATTGACGTACGTGTCAAGTAAGCGATGGCCTTCTCCACCATTTTGACGAGATGAAGAAGAAAGAAACGTTACTTATCATAGATTGTATCACACAAAGTAAAATTCAGTCTTGGTCAAATTCATTATTATTTTAGTTTTTTTTTTTTTTAATTCTTTTTATTTCGACTCTTTTAGCTACTTGTGTTTTCTTTTTCACGACTTTTTTGAAAGCTATATATATATATATGGTGTTATCATATACAAATACGTACTGTAGTAACCCTTTTCATGATGTTCCCACTTACTAGTTACTATATATGATACATATATTTCAACTTTATTTTGGTGTCGTCTTTTAAGCCTTTAACGTTGTTCGATGCATTGTTAAGTGATCTGGTTTTTGCTTCTTTTTGTAGCAAATATATACAGTACCATCCTCGCATTTTGCTTCATAAAAAAAATGTGAATTTAGCAAAGCTTTTCTTGGTTCCTAGACAAATAAAGAAAGCATTTGAGATCATTTAAAAGGGAGGCAAAGAAATGTAAGTGGACATTAGCCTGGTGAAGCCCAAATCTATTTATTAGTAAGCAAGTGAGAAAGCCCAACACTCGTCCTCGAAGTTAGGTCAAGTTCTTTATTAGGTACAAGAACTTTACCTAATAAAGAAGTAGTAGAACATTTCTCCGAAACCAACGACTCCTCCATATAAATAGAGAGCTAGACAAGAAAACGATACAAATCATCACAATTTTACTCCAAAGAATACTAAAGCTAGATTATTGCTAAGAATATTAACGAGTTTCTCAAGCTAATCAAAGAAATCTCTTGTAATAGATCAACTTTTGCGTCTAAATCAAATTTTCTTGAACTCTTTTTGTTTTCCAGTTTGATTGTATGGTTTTTACTCGCACAAGAAGTAATGGAAAAAGAAGTGATCATAAAAATCCAGGTTGCAAAACTACAATATAATACAGCAGCTAGAGATGATCATTCCGAAATTAACCAACCAAAGATATCTAGAGAGGTGTTTAAGAGTTAACTGTTATAAACGTTAAAACTTGAAGAGCAAAGCAAAACGAATCACATGTATTTTTGGGAGAATAATTGACTTATGGAGGTTTTATTCACCCCCAAAATAAAGTTACATTTTATATATGTTGAGTTTATGGGATAATTGATAGGATATGAAATGCTCATTTTATATATGTTGAGTCGGCTTTGAGCTAGCCAACTTCAAGAAATTTGGTAAAGGAATCTTGCATCGTTCGCAAAATTTGGTCAGTGAGATTTCGTTATGGGAAAGCTCATGGATTTGATGTTCGGAATCTCTCACAGACGTAAGAGGAACGTTCATTTGAAAGGCTTTTAGTGATAATAGACTTTTGTATTCAGATTTCTTTTTCTTGCAACACTCTTCATCTCCCGAAACAAATTCAGGGAAAACAATCAAAATCGTCATCGCTTTTTCTAACTTCTTAAGCTTCAATGCTTTGGTTGAATGGTTAGACCGAAATCAAATCAAAAATTATGTTTCTATATTTTTATTTTTATTTTGTCATAAAACCATGTTTATAAGTTATAAATTGATTGTAAACCTAAATTATTTTTATATTCAGTGAAATATCTACCAAACAACTAACAATATCTACCTTCTTAGCAAAAAAAAAAAAAAAGAAGGAAATTCGATTTTTTTTTAGCATTCTCTTCTACAGGATAGCGTAAAGGTATGTGAATTGACATACATACCTCTTCTAAATAATTTCCACAATACTTTGTTTTTTGAATTCTTTCATTTCTTAAGGAAGTTTACGTAGAACGACTGAAAAGAATAAAAAAGTGCGTACATTGTAATAAACTACAGCAAAAATTCACCTTCCCATATTTTCTTTAATGACATGATCAATTTTTTATTTTGATTTGATAAAATCTTCTCATACTGATACTTTATGATATTTAGTTTGTGATCCAATAAGGAAATATACTAAACATAGATCGAGCTCTGATAAAAATATATGACAACAAGAAAAGCTGGGGTTTTGTTTTATGACTCATCAGTTCACAATATATATCCAAACCACCGGAGTAAATGATTACATTGCATGCACAAATGCACTAAAAGAACTAGTACACATTAACATGTACATCGTCATACGTAACGATATGGCATGTGTCGGCATAAACACTCGCCTAAATATATGATAAGGCGTCTTTATTGAAATAAACCGCGTACTTAATTAATATAAGAAGTACCATTATATTGTTGGATGTTGAGAATAACTCAACCAACCCTGCAAAAATAAAAAGAAATTCAACAAATGGTTATTTATTTCATCTCGTATAGTTTAGAACTTAAATCAAACAAAACTCAAAAATCTTTAATTATTATAAGTGCATAGGAGATGCAAATTGTTCCAAAATTGAGTAAAAATATTTTGTTTTAAACAAAGTTTACAGTCAATTAATATAGAAAACGTATTAAATTATTATTAAACAAAGTTATATATTCGATATGAAATTTCAAATATTTACAATTTGAAATTAGCCATAAGTAAAACTTAAAAGTTGTAAAATATGATTATATTGGTTATATTATGTTCAGCTTAAGTGCTTTCTAAAGTTTAGTATTATAAACTTGAAAATTTCTTAGTTAGAACTATAATAAGACCAAGATACTAGACAACTTCAAAAATCAGTCAAGACTCGAGATCATATCATTAAAAACGTACGTAGTGCAGTCGACAGTAGAAGATGCATCAACGGGCAAGCTCGCACCACAGTTGCTAGCAAGGGCTTGAGCCAATTCAGGCTTCACGGTCACACTACTAGCCACTGACTTGATGCATTGGCAAGCCGCCTTCTTATCGGCAGATGCGGTGGTCGCCGCCGCTAGATTCTGAACTCCGTCGCAGCAAGTTTGGGGAGGCTTTCCACTTCCGCTGGTCAAGTAGCTAACACATGGCTGCAAATCCTGTAGCACAACACTACAAGATATTGCGGATTCAGAATAACGAGGCATAAAGAATATCCCAAGAACGCAAATGATCGCTACACTTTTCATTATGTTCATCATTGTAGATATTGAGAATAGTTAAATAAAAATCTGTAAGGTGTATTTTTGCTATATATGTAGAGTGAAGACGTGTGCATGCAATTTATATATGTGGAGAATTTAGGAAATTTTATTATTATAATTTAGAGAAATATTAGATGTTGGTTTGGTTTGTGATGGAGTGAAAGTAACTTTTAATGTAAATGTAAAAATTCAACATTTTGGTATGACATTGTTTTAAATATATATTATTTGGTCTATGTAGTTAGGTTATAGAGATATCTTGTCATTTTGGGTTTGTGTGTATATTAAACTTATAATCGTTAGGTACAAATCGTGACTACGTCAACAACACTCAAAAATGACGTTTTTACTAAAAGTGTATAATCAAATTTATGGAGTATAGTAAATTGTGCGTAATCGTATCTAATTGCGTAGCTCAACTAATCAATATAAAATATTTTCAAACAAAATATAAATCGTAGGAGGTATGGACGTGTGGGCTTTCTTTAGATCAGTATGAAAAGGACCGATTTAATTAGTCCATAACATCATGAACAAAGATAAATCTTGTAGAATGTAGATGATCAGATTTTATTCTATATTAAAAATTAATAATGGTTAAATATTTTCTACAAAATAGTAATATAATACTCTCTGTTTTTTATTACTCTATTTTCTAGAAACTTTTCTGTTTCAAAAAAAGAAAATTTCTAGGTTTTAATTATATGCAATATTTATTAATTATTATTGATGAATTGTAAACTTCAATAATTATAATAATTGAATACTATTGATTTCAAGTTATATAAAAATGTAAATTAAGTTTAAATTCGACCTATTTAAAAACATATGACAAATACAGTAAATAAGTAAGTTCACTAATAACACTATGTATATTTATAATACAAAAATAATTATGAGTTTACTTAACAAGTATCAGATTTTTCTTACCAAAAAAAAAAATAAACAAGTATCAAATTCTTATTTTATTTTAGTTTACTACTTGCGAAAAATATATCTACCACTACATTTGTTTTGCGAAATTTGACAATCTAGTAAATATCTCCAAAAAAAATAACAAGAATTGTCTTACAACATATCGACACTAATAGGAAGTGCATATTTATAACTCTGACTAGATTCATAGTCCAGAGATTACATGCAAGGCAAGTAATCAAGAACTCTCTATCATCTCCATTTTTCTATCAGTTTTGGTTGGTAACATTAAGGAAAGATGAAATGTTCAAAAAGAAAAAATGCATATAGGTGTAATAGAGTGACAGTATATTATTAAAACGAATAGATTTACCTGAAAGACTAAAGAAAAACATTATATTTTTATTGTTATCAAAATGTTTTAAGTAGTACGTACGTAGCTACATGCTATTTGGTAAGTTATCACTCAAAACGTCAAACAAGATAAAATATATAAAAATGTGTAGCAACAAGAACCCAACACCAGATACATTATAATTAATTCCAACTCAAAAAAGCTTTAAAATTAAGCTCATCACCACCCTCCATATGCTGTTCTATCTTTAAAACATATCCAAACAAGAACCAAAAACAAAAGATAGAGTAAACACAATGGTGAACATTGTGGAGTCGCAAAAACCTTTGTTGTACAGTCTCATAAAATTGGCTGGCGTCATTCCCTACACCGTAGAGACTGAACCAGGGACGAAGATGAACTTCTGGATCCCCAAAGAAACCCTAAAAAAACCAAAAAAATCTGACAAAAACTCTGCCGTGGAACCCAAAAAACCTACCAAACCAGTCGTCTTGCTCATCCATGGCTTTGCAGCAGAAGGGATCGTTACGTGGCAGTTCCAGGTTAGATCATTAGCCAAGAAGTACTCAGTCTATATACCTGACCTCCTCTTCTTTGGTGGGTCTTACTCCGACAACCCGGACAGGTCACCAGCGTTTCAAGCTCACTGTTTAGTCAAGTCTCTTCGTATCCTCGGCGTGGATAAGTTTTTCCTTGTAGGGTTTAGTTATGGTGGCATGGTGGCTTTCAAGATCGCCGAGGAGTACCCTGAGATGGTCCGGGCCATGGTGGTCTCAGGTATTTACCATATGCATTGTAATATCATTCTTAAATCTACGTAGACAATTATAAGATCTTTTTTTTTCATTATCAGGTTCGATACTTGCGATGACTGATACGATCAGTGAGTCTAACTTGAACCAGTTAGGTTTCAAGTCGTCGACAGATCTTTTGTTACCAACTTCGGTGAAAGGACTCAAGACTCTCTTCAGCCTTGCTGTTCATAGACCCATGTGGTTCCCGAACCGGCTCTTTAAGGATTTCATTGAGGTACCTAGCTACTCAAACTTTGCAATTTATTATGTAGCATCCGGAAGTCAAATTTGATCCCGGAGCTCGATAAATAGCATCATTTTTTAATATAAATAACAGACATGTAAAATGACTATAGTATAAATACTAGTAGCTAGCTTTGTGGTGCTCGCTTTGTTTAATTTCTTAACTTACCTAGAATATAAAAATCTCATGACAAGGAGAAGACAAGTGAGTTTTTGACATATATGTTGGTAGTAAAAGAAAAAAAAAGAAAAAAATATGGATATGTTTGGCTTTTCATTTAGTTTTAGAGCTTAGCAAGACCGTCTTTTTATTTGTGCAAAAACTTATATTTATGAACCCCTAATCCTTAGTCTAGAATTAATTGGGATTGTTAATTATTCATATTTCTTGATAAGAAAGTATATAGTTTCCATATGCTAATATAGTTTTTTTTGGAAATTATGAAGGTGATGATTACCAATAGGAAGGAAAGAGCCGAATTGTTAGAAGCTTTGGTCATCAGCAACAAAGATACGACTATCCCTCGATTTCAACAGGTTAATAATTATATACTTATCATATAGATAATTAAAAAAAAAGTCATTCACAAGAAAACATATGAAAGCAACTTTATAAATACTGGATTTTTCTAGTGACAAACAAGAAATAATCGGACAAATGTTCTATGATCTGGAAGAGTTTTGTCGTAAAAATATTATTTTAAAATTTGAAACTCGAGAATAAATTAACACCATTTTTGAGTAACTTCTGAAATCTCATAACTTATATAACTTAACTTATATAATTTATATCGACAAAACTCTTCCAGATCATAAAACACTTATCCGATTAAATCGAAAATGCATTTCAATTTACTACTTAACGATTCGATTAATTTTTGAAAATATTGTTTGACAGAAAATACATCTTCTATGGGGTGAAAGCGATCAAATTTTTAACATTGGATTTGCCAAGAAAATGAAAGAGTAAGTTTTGATACAGTATTTGTTTTACAAAAATATTAGATATAATTTTATCTCACTTAAATCATGTTTAAAATGAAAGGCAATTAGGAGAAAATGCAACAATGGAGAGCATAAAAAAAGCAGGTCACTTGGCACATTTGGAGAGACCTTGTGTCTATAACAGGCGACTCAAAAAGTTTCTTGCTTCGGTTTACTCCGAAAGCTAAACAATTCGATGTAAAACTGAATCAATACATAAATGATTCATATCTACTTTGATTTTAATTCTTCTGTCAAAAATAATGTAACCTCATATATATCTCATAAATAATATGTGGTTTATTGAAATAACATAGTTCTTTTTTCTCGCCATTTTTGTTTCATAGTTTATATCATATTGTTGTAATTTTTTTTTTCCTGTGAATCAGAGAATGAAGACATTTTAGTTATAGGGCCTAAACTTCATGACAACCCCAATTGTCGAAGTGTTCATGGGTCATTGAGTGAAGTGCACGGAAATGTATTTTCATTTTCCAATTGGATTACTTGTTTGAAATATAGTATATTGGGAGTATATATTTATCAATTGCTTGGAATCTTGGGTGATTAGTTTCATGTACCATTCAAAAATCTATGGTCTCACTTGCATCAACCACAAAACGGATTCTAATTAAATACAAAAGTTGTAATGAGAATTGGGTCATCAAACAATAGTAACAAAGCAAATTAACACTAGAGCTTGGTCAAAGAGTGCAAGACAAAAAAGCCTGGTAAGTCGCCACGTGGTGTATTCAATCTTGCATGCTCAATTGCATTACAGGAAGTTTAAATCCATACATAAACATTCTTACTGTATTGAAAAACAAAAAAGGATGATTAGAAATCAGTGATATATTTTATGATTACTCGGAAATTGCTCCATAACAAGTTGTCATTGCTGACATGTTTAAGAAAGTAAAGAGTTTAGAGAAATATGTTAAATAACTTATTAACAATTCAAAATTTTAGTATTGAAAATATTCTTGTTGCCAGAGTATACATGAGATGCATTAGCCCTGGTCATGTATTTCTTTAATCTATCTACGTATATTTACGTCAGTTTCTGTTTATATACATTATGTTTTTCTCTATTATATTTTATGAACTTATTTAAAGGCTAAAGATTCCGTCATTTTTTATAATTAAAGATTCTTATATATACATTTATATGGACGATTACTGTATTATTTTCTATTGTATGAAACATAAAATGAATATAATGTCGTTTCCAAAATAAAAAAACATTCATTAATTAAATACGTACTGATAACACAAAAACTTATCAAATTTAAATTGATTTTTTTTTTTTGGTGTGTTAGCAGCATGCATTACGTAAAGTTAGATTTAAATATTGATCTATAACAATAACCGTTATAATTAATGTACTACATATGTCAGTATATATCTTAGTTATTTTTGTATATATTGTTGTCATGGTTTAGATCGTTTATGTACTTAACTTTTTACTATTTTGGTATATCTTATACCATTTTAGAAAGAAAAGAAAAGAAAAACAAAAGCTAAATACATTATCTTCGTTGATCAAGGCAAAAATACTTCCAAGATGGAACTTTTTCACAAAGTTTTTTTTGTAATACATAATTTAATAAAAGCATATGACGTTTGCTTTCAAAGCGATTATCGTGATATTAAAATTAATTAAACAAATATAGATTCTTAAATCCTTTAACAAAAAATATTATACATAGATTCTTCAGCTTTGTATTCAAAATAGATTCTTCTTAATTTGTCCTGTTATCAAAAAAATATTCCAGCACTTTAATTGTTTAATCAATATATTCATTTAGTTATTATTTTTATTATTTGAATCATTTTAAAACTTATAAATAAGTAACAATCCGTGTTCAAATAATTTTTTAGATCCAGATAAGAAAACAACATGTAAAACTTTAGAAAAAAATAAAGAAACAATTGTTTTATAGGAAGAAAACACGCAATGCGAGATTTTATATACTTCGTTAATTCAAACGAATTTTTACAGTGTTAGAGCAGGATTAACGGTGGTATCTTAGGTGATTTTTAAGTTTTTTATGATTAAAATTAAATGTTTAATCATCATTTATCATAACATACGTTGCTTGTTTAAGATACGTAAACTGTGATAAGAGACGGACATGTGGCAGCTTTTTATTGGTGGAAGAAGAAAAAGAAAGGAAAAAAAAAACTCTTCTCGCGTTCTGTCTTCTCCTCATTTCACTCTCGTGAAAACAAAGTTTTTTTTCCTTTTGGCGATGAAGATGGCGATTCGGCTCATCTCCGATCTTCCGCCGTAGATGTCGTCCGGCCGACCAATCTGAGAGATATCACGACCTCCAGCGTTGCGGGAGTTCCACGGGAGGAGGAGATGCTGAAATCAACAAGTGGTGTGAGAAAAAGACGGCGAGGAGTACCGGAAATTGTTGGCTCCGATTTGTTCCAATCCTTCTCAAATCGGTAAGTTATGGTATGAATCTCTCTCTCTGGATGTTCGAAATGTTGTTTGAATG